GATAATTTACTTATACATGAACTTGGATTTTGGGAGAGACTTGGCGGCAGGTATCTCTTAAAGAGATGGATCTCTACCTCCCCCCCCCTAAGGAAGACGGTATTTGCGCAAACCTTAAGACTGATATTTTCAAGTTGTCCATTTGAAAAGACAATCTCTAGTATATGACCGATCTCCAGTGTAGAAACACATCAATTCATCTGCTTCTAAATAATTTCATGAGCATTCCAACCCAATGAACCAGATATCTGTTATAACAACATTCAGGGAATCTTTAATCTCTGCATTCCATATTAGTTTGATTATTAAATGTATCACACAGTGAAACAGTATTGTATACTGGATGACGTTTCGAACACAATTTATTGTTCATAATCATATCAATTTTTGTCACACGACTTCGAGATTTGATTTTTATAGTTTTCTCTGTCTTCTCCTATTTGTTGTATGGGCAGTAGAATTTTCCATATATCTGGGACAGGTGTTGAATCATTCCTATTACATGTATTTGCAGTTGATTCGATAAACAAAGCTTCTGTTATCAATCTCTCCCTATACCCTGTGACATTAGATTTTAAAACTGTCATCCTATTCCATCCTATTGTATGGTTGTGTGTAACTGCATGTAGTGCTATAGCTGAACTACTCTCTAGATTTCTTATCTTATTCGGGTCAACCAATCTAGATTTAGCTAGGTTTTTATGTTCGGCTAGTCTGACTGCCCCTGTTCTACTAGTTTGACCTATGTATTTGACCTCACAATCATTGCAGGGTATTAGATAAACTAAATTGTTTTGTTTTAATGGCTCTACAGGATCCTTTAACCGACAAAGCTTGTTTCTAATTGAGTTTGTGGGTTTGAATGCCACTTTTATTCCTGCCTTGTTAAGAATTCTGCGTAAGGCTTCCGAGGTTCCTTCTTTGTATGGAATTACTGTTGATGATTTACATTCCTTATTGTTGGTGTCGTTATTAATATTATTATTATTATTACTATTATTATTACCATTATTATTATTGTTATTATTATTATTGTTATCATTATTATTATTATCACTATCTCTGTTATCATTATTTATTTTATTTTTACATTTACTTACATATTTCTTGACTAATTTATCCGGGTAATTATTAAGTTTCAAGGCTTCTTTTATGTGTGTCACTTCCTGTCTTAGATTTTTTAGATAAATTAGTCAAGAAATATGTAAGTAAATGTAAAAATAAAATAAATAATGATAACAGAGATAGTGATAATAATAATAATGATAACAATAATAATAATAACAATAATAATAATGGTAATAATAATAGTAATAATAATAATAATATTAATAACGACACCAACAATAAGGAATGTAAATCATCAACAATAATTCCATACAAAGAAGGAACCTCGGAAGCCTTACGCAGAATTCTTAACAAGGCAGGAATAAAAGTGGCATTCAAACCCACAAACTCAATTAGAAACAAGCTTTGTCGGTTAAAGGATCCTGTAGAGCCATTAAAACAAAACAATTTAGTTTATCTAATACCCTGCAATGATTGTGAGGTCAAATACATAGGTCAAACTAGTAGAACAGGGGCAGTCAGACTAGCCGAACATAAAAACCTAGCTAAATCTAGATTGGTTGACCCGAATAAGATAAGAAATCTAGAGAGTAGTTCAGCTATAGCACTACATGCAGTTACACACAACCATACAATAGGATGGGATAGGATGACAGTTTTAAAATCTAATGTCACAGGGTATAGGGAGAGATTGATAACAGAAGCTTTGTTTATCGAATCAACTGCAAATACATGTAATAGGAATGATTCAACACCTGTCCCAGATATATGGAAAATTCTACTGCCCATACAACAAATAGGAGAAGACAGAGAAAACTATAAAAATCAAATCTCGAAGTCGTGTGACAAAAATTGATATGATTATGAACAATAAATTGTGTTCGAAACGTCATCCAGTATACAATACTGTTTCACTGTGTGATACATTTAATAATCAAACTAATATGGAATTACTTAATACCACAGTGCCCAAGTTTTACACATATATTAACATGACTTATGGTCTTCCTGTACGAAGACTTATCAATAAACTCACTCGACTTTCACAAACTGAAGCAAGATATGAAAATCACCGTATTTTTAACATTCGATGCTTAAAAAATGAAATCATTCCTAAATATCTACGTCTACGAGCTCCAGTTCCAACAGACAGAGTTAGAAGCAGAATAGAAAGTCTACAAAAATTATGCCTGAAAGAAGAGATCCACAGAATCGTTAGAAAATTACAACATATCAGATGTGAAATTGAGCAATTAAAACAAAAGCTAAAAGGAATAGTTTCCAATGTAGATTATGATCTTATAACACAATCCTCCAACAATGCAAAATCAGCCACTTTCAAAAAGTCAAAAAATAGTCAAATCAAAAAGTTCAACAAATTATTAGAGGAGAAATCTTCATCTCAGAATAATGAAGTCAACAATCCAAAATCAACGGCGATCGATAAATCAAAGTGGGTTATCAATCTCTCATCACATATATTAAGTCCGATGGAAATAAGTGTATTAGAAAAGGGACTAAACTTCAATGTAGCGGTGGACAAGCTAAAACCTGAGGATGTCATCCCTAAAATAGAAATAGCACTAAGTGGGATAGACAAAACAACAGCTGAAGAAGTACGTGCACAATGTGCACTTACATTAAAACGACAAAAATGTGGAAAACCTAACCTGACAAAACAAGAGACAAAAGCCCTAAAACACCTCAAGAATAACAAGGATATAGTAATCACAAAGTCAGACAAAGGGAACGCAACAGTAGTATTAGACAAATCGGACTATTTGGACAAGGTAAATACTCACATACAAACAGGACCATATGAGGAAATTAATAAATCAATAGACACAGTTATGAATAAAGTTAAGAAATCCACAGCGGACCTTATACGCCGAATGAAGCCGTTTCTAGGTGAGTCTAAGTGGTTTAATTTAATGCCAAAAACTAATAACCCCAGTAGGATGTATGGTGTTGTTAAAATTCATAAATCAGGATACCCTATTAGGCCTATAGTTGATTTTAGAAATTCACCTACCTATGAATTATCTAAATATTTAGCCATGGTATTAAATCCCCTAAAAATCCACTCGAAATCTAGACTAACTAATTCTTATGAACTAAAACACAGATTAGATAATTTAAAATTAGATAATGAAGAAAAAATGGTTAGTTTTGACATTGTCAGTTTATATACACGTATACCAATAAATATGGCTATAGAGGCGGTCAGAAACGAACTCATTTCTGACCAAGAACTCGAACTTAGGACAAAAGTGCCAATTGAGGACATAATGCTGGGAGTGCAGCTTTGCCTGACTTCTACAGTATTTAAATTCCAAGGGAAAATATACAAACAAACTGAGGGAGTTGCCATGGGATCACCAATATCCCCAGTGGTAGCAGATATATTCATGGATAGGTGGGAAAAGATAGCGATTGAAACGTTCACCCCCACCCCAAAAGTATGGTGGAGGTATGTAGATGACACATTCACTGTACTTAGAACACAAGATATAGATAGATTTTTCGAGCACATCAACTCGAAGGTAGAGGCAATTCAATTCACTTATGAATTGGAAAGTCAGGAAGGGGAACTTCCAATGTTAGATTGCAACGTTAAAAGGAAAGAAGATGGGAAGCTAAACACTAGTGTTTACAGAAAACCCACACATTCAAACAGATATTTGGATTTCCGATCATCCCATCCTATGTCAGTAAAAATAGGATTAGTGAAATGTTTAAATGACAGAGCACAAAAACTAAGTAGTACCAAGGAAAATCTAAGACAGGAAGTGACACACATAAAAGAAGCCTTGAAACTTAATAATTACCCGGATAAATTAGTCAAGAAATATGTAAGTAAATGTAAAAATAAAATAAATAATGATAACAGAGATAGTGATAATAATAATAATGATAACAATAATAATAATAACAATAATAATAATGGTAATAATAATAGTAATAATAATAATAATATTAATAACGACACCAACAATAAGGAATGTAAATCATCAACAATAATTCCATACAAAGAAGGAACCTCGGAAGCCTTACGCAGAATTCTTAACAAGGCAGGAATAAAAGTGGCATTCAAACCCACAAACTCAATTAGAAACAAGCTTTGTCGGTTAAAGGATCCTGTAGAGCCATTAAAACAAAACAATTTAGTTTATCTAATACCCTGCAATGATTGTGAGGTCAAATACATAGGTCAAACTAGTAGAACAGGGGCAGTCAGACTAGCCGAACATAAAAACCTAGCTAAATCTAGATTGGTTGACCCGAATAAGATAAGAAATCTAGAGAGTAGTTCAGCTATAGCACTACATGCAGTTACACACAACCATACAATAGGATGGGATAGGATGACAGTTTTAAAATCTAATGTCACAGGGTATAGGGAGAGATTGATAACAGAAGCTTTGTTTATCGAATCAACTGCAAATACATGTAATAGGAATGATTCAACACCTGTCCCAGATATATGGAAAATTCTACTGCCCATACAACAAATAGGAGAAGACAGAGAAAACTATAAAAATCAAATCTCGAAGTCGTGTGACAAAAATTGATATGATTATGAACAATAAATTGTGTTCGAAACGTCATCCAGTATACAATACTGTTTCACTGTGTGATACATTTAATAATCAAACTAATATGGAATTACTTAATACCACAGTGCCCAAGTTTTACACATATTTTAATCTCTGCACCCAATAAACTAATATTATCAGGATACTCACTCAACTTAGCCCAGTTTACTAACCTGCTGTGTAAGCCCGAAAATGTTAAGGAAGGTTGGGCACATTGATTGAGCTAGCGCGACTCTACCCCAACCCCACGGAAAATCAATACCCATTCCCTCTACAGAAACTTCAACAAACAACTATACACCAAAAAAAATACGAAACAGAATTTAAAAAACTTGCCTGAATTTGTTTAAGTTTAATATCCAACTTTTTCAATTGTGTTTCCACTAGCTGAGCAACTAACCCCTTGATACGCTTCTCTTCAACACTGGCTAAATGTCGTGCTTTGATAGCAGCAGCGGCTAGCGCACACGCAGCAGCTGTGCCCAAACTATCCGGATTCGGTGGTAATGAGTTTGTGGCACCACCGGCAGCGGCAGCACTCTTTTCACTTGTTTCTGCTTGTTGTGATTGCGATTGTGGTTGCTGATCAGCTGACGACGACTTCTCTGATTCTGGTACAACCGATGTAGCGGCAGTAGCAGCAGCGGCAGCATTGGCGTTGATAGCCGTAGTTGCTTCTGATACGACAGGTTCAGATTGTTGTTCTACTAAATGTGGAATTGATTCAACTGTCGACTGCTGTTGTTCACCAGGTTTTGTCTGCGTAACTCCGGTGGCTTCATCAGTTTCCCCTTTAGTCTCTTGTTCTTCAATAATCATTGGTTCAGCTTTATTAACATCAGCCGTCTCTTGACATTCACCAGTATCCATTTTACATTCTTCAGGTTTAGGGAGCAATGAAGCCGTCGCCTCAGGACTTTTAGGCTTATTTTCAGAAGTTAATTCATCAACTGTACTACTAGTAGTGATGTCTATTGGAGTACTTTCCTATATATATGTATATGAAAGAGAAAAATATAAAAAATGATTCAAGGAGTATATATAATACAGATAGGGGTACATCTTATGGGGTAACCATCACCACCACCTGTACCCTCTCAGAATGCCTACTTCTGCATAACTCATATTATATTTAATTTCGGCAAGACCCCACCACACCCCAAAAGTATGGTGGAGGAAGCCCTGAAACACCATAAGAATAACGAGGATATAGTAGTCACAAAGTTAGACAAACGAAATGCAACAGCAGTATTAGACAAATCAGACTATTTGGACAAGGTAAACACTCATACAAACAGGACCATATGAAGAAATTAATAAATCAATAGACACCCTCATGAATAAAGTTAAGAAATCCACGGCGGACCCTATACACCGAATGAAGCCGTTTCTAGGTGAGTCTAAGTGGTTTAATTTAATACCAAAAACTAATAACCCCAGTAGGATGTATGGTGTTGTTAAGGTTCATAAGCCAGGATACCCTATTAGACCTATAGTTGATTTTAGAAATTCACCTACTTATGAATTATCTAAATATTTAGCCATGTTATTAAATCCCTTAAAGAGCCACTCGAAATCCAGGCTAACAAATTCCTATGAACTAAAACATGGATTAGATAATTTAAAATTAGATAATGAAGAAAAAATGGTTAGTTTTGACATTGTCAGTTTATATACACGTATACCAATAAATATGGCTATAGAGGCAGTCAGAAACGAACTCATTTCTGACCAAGAACTCGAACTTAGGACAAAAGTGCCACTTGAGGACATAATGCTGGGAGTGCAGCTTTGCCTGACTTCTACAGTATTTAAATTCCAAAGGAAAATATACAAACAAACTGAGGGAGTTGCCATGGGATCATCAATATCCCCGGTTGTAGCAGATATATTCATGCATAGGTGCAAAAACATGGAGATTGAAACGTTCACCCTCACCCCAAAACTATGGTTTAGGTATGTAGATGACACATTCAGTGTACTTAGAACACGGGATGTAGATAGATGTTTCGAACACATTAACTCAAAGGTGGAGGCAATTCAACTCAATCATGAATTAAAAAGTGAGGAAGGGAAACTTCCGATGCTAGATTGTAGCGTAAAAAAGAAAGATGCGAAGTTAGACATTAGTGTTTACAGGAAACCCACACGTTCAAACAAATATCTGGACTTCTGATCATCCCATCCTATGTCAGTAAAAATAAGATTGGTGAAATGTTTCAGTGACAGAGCACAAAAACTAAGTAGAACCAAATAAAATCTAAGACAGGAAGTGAGACATATAAGGGACGCCTTGAAACTTAATAATTACCCTGATAAATTAGTCAGAAAGTATGTAGGGAAAGGTAAAAATAAAATAAATAATGACAGTAATGATAGTGATAATAATATTAATGACGACATGAATGTCAAACATGCGCAGGATAATGACACCACCAACAATAAGGAATCTCAATCATCAGTAGTAATTCCATACAAGAAAAGAACCTCGGAAACCTTACACAGAATTCTTAACAAGGCAGGAATAAAAGTGGCTGGCATTCAAATCCACAAACTCAATTAGAAACAAGCTTTGTCAGTTAATAGATCCTGGGCAGGCTTTAAAACAAAACAGTTTAGTTTATCTTATACCCCGCCTGCAATGATTGTCAGGACGAATACACAAGTCAAACTAGTACAACAGGGGCAGTCAGTCAGACTAGCCGAACATAAGAACCTATCAAAATGAAGATTGGTTGATCCAAATAAGATAAGAAATCTGGAGAATAGTTCAGCTATAGCACTCACTACATGCAGTCACACACAACCATACAGCATAGTATGGGATAGAATGATAGTTTTAAAATCTAATATCACAGGATGGAGGGAGAGATTGATAACAGAAACTTTGTTTATCGAATCAACTGCAAACCAACACGTATAGTAGGAATGATTCAACACCTGTCCCAGATATCTGGAAAATTCTGCTACCCCAATGACGATAAATAGAAGAGAACAAAAAAACTATAAAATTCAAGTTTCGAAGTCGTGTGATTATAATTGATGATATGATTATGAACAGTAATAAATTTTGTTCTAAACTGTGTCATCCAGTATACAATACTGTTTCACTGTGTGATACATCTAATAAACAAACTAATATGAAGACGGATCTTCACTAATCTGAAGCCAGTCCAGAAATCTATTGTACTAAGCTTAAAGAACAAGATGTGAAATTTCCACACTGACTGACTGGTTTTAACGTAGAACTTTGCACAGATGTGCAGCAGTTCGAGTTACCACACACACACACACACTCTGTCTTTCCATGTCCATTCGGCACACAAAACAAGAGAAGAGAGTAAAGAGACATTCAAAACAGAGATAATAAACAGAAATATGAAGCAAAAAGAATAGTAATATGTTAGAACAAAAGAATTTTACTGGATAGGATAAATCGAAAAGGGTGGATGCATCTGTACCAGTGAGAGTTATTTCGAAACATAGCACCGATTGTCTCCTATCCCGAGTACACCAACCAGTCAGGGAGTCTGCATCCACCTAGGTGGCTAACTCAAACAAACTATTAAAAAGATTTCATTTTTCGCTTGACCACCAACCTGATTCTGTATCAACTAACATTACCCGTGGAGGAAGACGACGGTTAGGCTAGACATACGTAACATATGTCTTAACCATCTCAGTGAGTGTAGCTTCATAACCTCGTCGATTGATTCCCTTTCCCATCGACCTAGCACTTTTTTATGTCTTCGCCCTTCAATGGTCATGTCTCCCTGACAGCCATAAAAGGAGGAGCTGTTTAATGCTGCTAATAGCTTTATCTTATACTAGTGATATTAAACCAGAATTTACTGAATCTCAGCTTACATACGCAGGAATTTAATCATAGTTCTTCAGTATGTGGTACCTGTCTATACAGCTCTATAGGACGCAAAGATCAGATTCCTGTGTTCAGACCACAGACAGCAGCTCGGTTTCAGTCGTTTACATCAAAACATATGCAAAGGAAAATGGAAAAGGATCAGACACAAGCTGAAAAGACCGCTGAATGACATCGCGCGCCAGACAAATCATCGAGTAGGACCTGATGAGGAAACGACGAGTTCGACACAAGTCCAAGTGTGAGGAGGAAATTAGAGTTTATAGGCAATCATGGAGTTAGCTGAAAATGATTGCAGAGAGCAAGATCGAATGGAAATGTACTGTTGAAACCCTGTGTTCCACTTGGAACCTAAGGGGATAATGATAATAATTATTTTTACTGTAGGTTATAACTTTGATTTTAAGCTATTGAAACTTTGAACTTTGGAAGTGTCGGAGAGGTGGGGGGGAATCGTGTGGTACAGAATAATTTGTGGACACAGTAGTGCCTTTATTCCACTGATTCTGCTAACACATCGTGCTAGCACCCAGGAAACAACGAAGAAGTCACCCTTTCAGTTGATGTATGGTAGAAAACCACGATTACCGATACACAACGAGACCTGGCCCCTTCACCAAAAGTGGAGTACGACGAAATTAAAAGCAGAACGGAAAGAAGCAGTCAAGAATGTAATGCAGAACCAGCTGAGGGATGTTGCGAAGTCTGAGTAGAGAGGAAAGATTCAGTACATTACCTTTGTAGTCGGGGACCAACTGAAATGTAGAGACAGAAGATATGCAGTTGCATGCAGGTCAAGTTAACAAAAACTCCTTCCTTCCAAAGTGGGAAGTATCATAGACAATCACAAAAAGGCGGGTTCAATTATATACAATCAGAAGAGGTGACAAACAGAACCGAGTTAACGCCAGTCAGATCCAACGATGAATTTAGTGGAACAAGCCGCTCCGTGACAATTATTAACGAGAGGACGTATCACCCAGAAGGTCGGAACGCCTGCGTGCGAAGTTATTTGATGGGGGGGGGACGAGTGTGGTGAGAGATGCCTGCTAGCCAAATTGGTAGGCAGTAATTTACGTCAATGTTTATGTACCAAATATTAGTCATGTGATACACAAGAACAAAGACTGACAGCAGATAGATGATCTGACATTCAAGAAACAGCCACAAAAAAGAGATAAAAGATTAACTTTTAGTGAGAAACAACCAATCAATAGACTGTGTTTGTCCGCTAACAATAATCTATAATAATGTACATTAGAATCTATAAATATGTGTTGATTTCCTTAATAAACGATCTGTTGCCTGACTCTTGCCTTCTGTGTTCTTATAGGCATAATTTTTTCTGCCCAGTTGCGTTTCTAAAGATACTAAGAACAAATGGCTTGACACAAAATCGATTTCAACGGCACAAATGCACTCACTCTTTGTGATCTTTTGTATTCATTAGATTTTCCCATGTTACTGCTCTTTCCCTCTCTCCCCCCCCCACCTCACATATTTTCCTTCTATTCGTCTTATAACTACCTTCGTGGGCGATTTGGAGTATGGTGACTTGAATTACTGTACTTCTGTGCATATTTCCAATGTTGAAACTCGGTCAGTCAGTCATCGCCTTCCTCGACAATGGGCAATGTTAGCTGATATAGGATCAGGCTGGAAAATAGCTAGCCAGTGGTGGTCAAACCAAAATATGGCTTTACCAGTCAATGAAATCCACCACAGTTAGTTTAAGCCAGTCAGCCACGTAGGAAGGTGTAGACTTCCTGGTTGGGGTTCTCAGGACGTTAAAAACCAATGGCTAGAAACAATAGGTGATATGGCTCGAACTCATCGTTCTGAATGGCTGGCTGGTGCAGATGCATCCACTCCTTGTGACTGACTTATGATTTCCAATGAAACTGTTTTGTTCTTCTTTACTACTATTTCTTTGTCTCACACCTGTGTTTACTGTCTCTAGTATGCATTTCTTGTTACTTTCTTCTCTTGCTGTGTGTGGTACATGGAGAGAGAGTGGCGACTTGAACTGCTGCACATCGGTGCAAAGTTCTATGTCGAAAACAGACAGACAGACAGTAAGTTAGTCAGGAAGAAACACATAATCCTAGAGGAACAAATCGCCCATTTATCGATCCAATGTTAAAAGATTAGTTCGATCCCTACAAAGCAATACTTGAAAATTAATCTGATGTCCACTAGCGACTGGCTTTATACAGGAAGTTACACCTAGAGAGAAATCGTGACTAGCGGAGTCCATCAAGTCAAGTACTCGTCGATGACATTGGCTGATGGTTGTGCTACGCATCACGAATGGTCAGAAGTAGGAATTGCTCATTCGCCATTGGTTCAGGTCATAGTGGCTGAATTAACCTACGAGTTCACCTTATAACCGCAAGATCCTGGGTCCGAAGCCAAGTGGTGGGTGCTAAAGAATCCCGAGCATGGACGAAACAAATGTCCAGCGCTCCGTGGCTTTCCAATGGTTCCTCCTCTAACTAATATCAGTTCGTGATCAGACCTATAGCCAATCAGATCCCAGGCAGACCAACACTTGACTCAACTTTTTTTAATCAAAATTAAAAAACATTAAATTAAATGCCAATGACTGACCTTATGTTCGATTTCTTTAGCTTCATTTTCAACGGATATTATTTGTTCCATTGACTTTTCATTGGGAACAACAACACTGCTCGGCGGCAGTGGACAAGGTTTCTCCAACTCCTCGTTGACTTTACTCCCACCGACTTCATCTAAACCAAATTTCTGTGGATCTACGGGATGACCTAATTTTACAGCTGCCTCAACGCGTGCTTTATGCTCACGTAGTAAACCTGCAGGGACTTCATCACGCATTTTAGCATATTCGGTGAGTGCTGCTTGAGCGGCAGCTGCTGCGACACGTGGATCTACAGCAGCGGCTAAAAAGGCGACTGTCGACAGGATTGGATTTACTGTCTTTGAAAATGGTGGTGTAGGATGACTTGCGTTAGCTAGAGAGGTTAAATTCAAGATGGGATCTGTGCCTTCAAGGTAGGCGTCTTCAATCGGTAGGCGTAAGAAATGCAAAATACACTCTTCTTGAGTACGACTACCGACATGTTCAGCAACCTAAAAGGCAAAAAAGAAACGATGACAATAAGCATAATAAAAGCGCATTTATAAATAGACTTTAATACCCACGAATATAATCATCATAATAGAGTGATAACAGATATCTGAATATAGATATTTTAGAGTTTAAGACTGTAAAGTCAGCGGTGCAACGGTAGAATGCCCGCCAACGACGCGTGAGGGCCTAGGTTCGATTCCCAACCAAAGCAATTCCAAAAACCTTGCTTGCTTAGTTTACAAGCCGATATAGTGAGCCGGGAGAAGAGGCAAGGTAAGAGTCAACACCGGTGCTTCTGAAACTTCAGAGGCTTGAAGATCTATGTACCAGGTGAGAGGCAAAAGGAATGAGAAAAAATGGTTAAAGACTAATGATTCACTAACAAAGTATTGATTCAATATAGTAGGATTCAGTTGAATACGTAGAGAAACAGCAACCATAGGTCATCAGTGAATAACTTCTTAATAAGGACGGAGAGTTGCATTTCGTATTCGTATTCGTTGGATGGATTCTCTAATATAACAATAAAAAGAATCTTATAATAATATACTGTCTTTTAATGCACATGACAGTTGACAGGCATCATCAATATAAGACCGATAAGCAAATTAACTACATTGCAGAAAGACGGTGCAATTGAGCATGAAATAAAAGCTCGAAAGGATATTTTATCTAAGAATGGATATATCCTGAGAAGTTCATTGATTAATAAATACTATAAAGAAATGAGCCCCTCCTAAACTATCCAAACAGTTCTTCTAAAGAAATCTGTCTATATCAGTTTGCCATTCAAAGGAGATTATGATGTACAAGAGGTAGTCAAACGAAGACGCGAGAACTTATTGTGCTGCAAAACTCATTCGTGTTCCTTAACACCACAAAGCAGCAAGTGCTTCAACAATCTGGGAAAGACCAGTCGCCAATCCTCGACACTTCAAACTGAGTATATCAATTTGATGAGTGTGTTTATGGCAGCAAATACATAGGTCGTACAGAAAGGTGACTGTCTACTCGAATGATGGAGCATTTGCCAAAATGGTTGAAAACAGCTGAGTGCAAAGTGCCAAAATCCTCAATAACAAAACATCTTGTGGACTACGGACATGATATCGACGCTGTCAAGTGTCATTCAGTGTTGCTAGTGAGCAGACGAAGAAACAGGAAGATGCTTGCAATTCCGGAGGAGGCTTGAGCAATTCGAGTTTATAAACCAGGTCTCTGTGTACAAAAGGAGATGGTCGTGACTCTGAATCTACAGTGGTAGTACGATTTACTTATTATTCTGCCTCTTATTATTATTATTCTTGATTCATTTAAAACTGTCCTTTATCAGTAGGATAATCTTAACTCACTTTAACACTGTTATTATTGTTAGTGTTATTAATATAACTATTACTACTGATATTAACCTGTTTGCAATTCTCGTTATATTCCCTAATGACTAATTGTTTATCTAAGTGATGTAATTGAAGCGTAATACAATTTATCCTAAAATTTTAATCTCTCATACTCCCTTTCCCCACTTATCTATTTGAACATGACGTGGAAAACATTCGCACCTGTCTTTCTACATGACCGATTTAATGTAGTTTATTTACTTATCAGTCTTATATCTCACAATGTAATTTAATAGTATATATAGCCCCGTATGTAGAGTAGTCAGCTGACGAGTATTTTTACCGAAATTTGATGAATTCATTAAGTCCTGCTTTATTAACACCTTTTGTTGCTTGTTTCAAGTTCATTAACTGTTGACTTCCACCAGTTACATAATAACATTAGTTTGTAATCAAAATTGCTTTCCAAATATTAAACAGCAATCTAAAGTGAACTTTAAGGAGCTTTTTGTATCAGTTGGTTGGAACTCTCCAGAATCACCCGAAGTTCATTTTCCACAGTACTAGGCAGTGAATCACACTCATTGTGTGAGAGCAGTAGATGAAGTTATTGACGGAGGAGGGACAGGGGATTCAAACCCTGAACTCATCGGTGGAGTCACAATCTTCTAAATGACTCAATCCCCAGTTGCAGTAATCAGATGTAAAGGGAGATTGAAACACATGGCTTTAAATGACTCAGGCGTGTATGTGTATACAGTAGTGATTAGAAAAAAAATACGCCGGCGACACACATACAAAAAAAACAAACCTACCTTATTCCAATCATCACGATATAGTTCTAAAGCCTCCAGGAGTAACAAAGTCTCTTGATCTGTCCAACCACTTTGTGTAGCACCTTTAAGCAGTTTAGTATTAACAACTGTTGCCTGTTGTGGTGTTGGTGGTGCTGGCGCTGTATCTGATGTAGCCGTTGCAGTAGTAGTAGCACTGGCAGACTGACTACGATTATCTAGTAAACCACCAGTGGTTTTATTAATACTTGCATTTGCCAGATATTGATCTGTTCGTAAACTTGGATCACCAATTGTCGGTAATTTATTTACTCCTACTTGGTTAGCATTATTATTATTAGTAGTAGTAGCAGTAATGTTTGTAGCACTAGAATTGTTGGCAGCTGTTGTTGTTGTTGAGACAGTAGGTAGTGTAGTGTTGACTGTTTCTGCCGATGTTGTGGAGGCTGATGATGTCGTTACCGAGGTCCCAGTGAATTCACTTCCCTGCAAAGAAACAAAAGATTGAAAGGATAGAAATACGACAAGATATCTATTATGTGAGAGCTAGTCAGCTGTTAACCTAGCTGTTCAAACCTTAATAGGTGGAGCAGATTTCAAACAATTGATCCAGTCATAGTTGATAATTGAGACAGTCCGGACAAATGAGCCGAAACACCAGTATTTAATGTAGAGTGTATAGTTTCAATTTCCAACAGGTTTATAGACTTTCATGGAGAGCTGCTGGCGCCACCAGCTGCTCAATGCTAAAGATCAGACAGCCGATACGAAAGGAAAATAAATAAGGAACTCTGCCAAAGACAAATATTCAGAAAGAAATAGAGATGGATTGGGCATAATGCTGAGGAATAACGCTTGAATTGACATTAGACACCAGATCCTCGAAGGAAACCAAACTGGAAATCGATGCGATGAGTGTTTTTTCGTAGGGGTAACACGGAGAAGAACTAACTGGTAAGCAGTCAAGCAATTTGTTGAAAGATATTTCGTCAAACTTTCAACGTAACGTCTGTTTGTCTGTCTGTTTTCGACATGAACTGCTGCACATCAGTGTAAAGTTCTAAGTCGCCACACACCCTCTGTGTAGCACACAAAGCAACAGAAGAAAGTAGAAGAAATGCATAATAGAGACAGTAAACACAGGTGTGAGACAAAGAAATAGTAGTAAAGAAGAACAAAACAGTTTCATTGGAAATCATAAGTCAGTCACAAGGAGTGGATGCATCTGCACCAGCCAGCCATTGAGAACGATCACTTTCAGCCATATCACCAATTGTCCCCAACCTTCACTGGTTTTTACCGTCCCGAGGACCCCAACCAATTAGGAAGTCTACACCTTCCTACGTGACTTAAACTAACTGTGGTGGATTTCATTGACTGGTTCCATGTTTTGGTTCGACCGACACTAGCAATTTTCCAGACTGGCCCTATGTCAGCTAACATTGCCCGTCAGCCGAGGAAGGCAATGACTAGGCAAGCATACGTAACACATGTCCTAACCATCTCAGTCTATGTAGCTTCACAGCGTCGTCGATTGATTTCCCCTCCAACTCAGCTAGCACTCGACCCATGCCTAACTTCAATATTTCTCACCTTGTTATACCACTTCACACGGGAGATAGAACGCAAGCACCTATGATCAAAGACAGCTAATCTTTTCATGTCTTCCACTCCCAATAGCCAGGTCTCACAGCCATAAAGGAGGACGGAGCGGACTGATGAGCAGTACACCCGCTCTTTGGTCGATAGCCGGATATCACGTCTACACCGGGTTGACTGTCCATTGGATGACAGTCTAGGGGAGATGGCTAAACCCTGATTCCAAACCTCCAACGACTGGCGTATGAAACTCACCGGAGCTCACCGGCAGACGTATGGACAAAGGGCTTATTGGATGCCCTGGATGACTGGCCCCATTCAAAAAGGCGAATGAACCGGACTCCGGTCACCGGCTGCCAATGGATAGTGGACTCTCTACTCCACTCCTACTGCCTTGTAGGTCACACTTGGTTGTGTAAAGGCTAGAGCTGCACACTCAAACAAAGGTCGAGCGATGCTGGGGACATCACTCGTACCCAATTCCCATGAAACTTCATGGTTCATGAAGCCGGCTCATCCTCCCGTAGGAGATAGCCGAAGTAAAGCAAGCAAGCTACGCCAGAGACGACGTAAACTGGCATATGCGAAACTGGCCCTGTGTATCCGTGCTGAGACTTCGTCAGAGATCAACCCGCTGGCGTTGGCTGATACAACTTCCCAAATAAGTGAAGCGGTCAACACGCTCTACCACTACGTACAGTGTAGTCCAGTCCTGTAACACCAGCTTATATTTGGCGGGAGCGAATCGCATGCCAAACTTAAGGAAGTTGAGATGATCTGGTATCAGTCTCAGACTCTACTGTTACAGCTTGTTACTTCTTGTATTTTACCTATTCCTTTCTTTTACTACTCTTTTCCCTTAGTCTACCTCTCCCCTGGCCTACTACTTAGGAAAGAATTTGTTATACAGAGAAGGACACTAAAAGCTGTCAGTAGGGTGACTGGGGTATTGCTAGACCAAACTTGTTAATACTCTACTGTGGAGAGACACTTGAGAATATCAATGTCATCTTGTCGAACTTTGAGCATCCTCTGCATAAACAACTCTTGCCTCTGCATTGTATCAGATAGGACTAGAAGCAAATAGAAGAGAATTTATGCCTCAGACGACTAAGTATTGAAACTCCACGATACTACTTTATTGGACAGGGACGCATTTTATGTGATAAGAAAAGTGGTGTTAGGCATTGAAACCATCGAACTTACTACGAAACAGCAAATAAACTGCAATTTATTCCTCGAATCATCAATATGTTGTCATCGATATTTCCGCTTAAATTTTAATTTTATGTTATATTCTTTTGAACAATATTATCGATGTTGTAAATGCCCTGTTTAATTAGATCACCCTGCACTATGCAAAGAGGAAATTAGATGCAATACTGATTATACTACATGCTGAAAATTTTACACCGTATCAAAATTACTGTTTGGAGTAAAGCCGTTACTATTTATTATTGCAACGGCAAAAAATAAGAGAACTGGCAACGGATTATTGTCTGCTTGGTGTCCCCAGTGGGTCGGTTTGCTCCCCCCTCTTAGTTGACCGGGATAAACCGCCCACTGACAGGCCATCCATATTGGTGCTGCGCTTAGAGTGGACACCTGATCAACATAAGCTCTCATATACCAGAACCCCCGGTGCTGCAACGTTAGCCTCTAAATAGCTATATTACAGGCGAACGCCACCACATCCAGCCAATTCGGAATTAAACTTAAGCATGGTGTAACAGAAGTGTGCGGATGAGTAAGAGAATCCGGGGATTTGAACTTGAGAGACAAAGAAACAGAAGAACAATTATTCACGGGAAAAGTCGAGCTCAATTTGTGGTGAGAGCTGGCTGCTAGCCAAAAGCGGTAGACAGTAACTTAGGTCCCCAATATTGGTCGTGAGAAAAATGCGAACAAATGCTTTGCGTAGGCAGATACAGTTAGCATATAGATGATCTGACATTCAAGAAACAGCTACAAAGAGATGAAAGGTTAACTTTCAGTGAGAAACAACCAATCAGAGGACTGTGTTTGTTTTCTTATATAATCTATAGTAGTATACATGAAAACCTATAAATATGTGTTGATTTCCTTAATAAACGATCTGTTTCCTGGCCCTTGTCTTCTGTTGTTACAAATTTACAACGCACTGAATAAAAACGGGTGAATAAGAGTGCTAGGAAAGAGATAAAAGATAATTCTACGATAAATTGGTAACTAAAACAGAACACGCTGCAGGAAATAGAAACCTCACATCATTATCCGCGACAACCAGGTAGCTATCCCGGAAGAGATCAAATCACACACAAACACATATGAAACAAAAGGCCTGATCACTTCAAAGGATTCCTGAAACGATCAACACCACCAACAGCTTGTCTAGAGATACCACAACCAACAAACACAGAACAACTATAAGTGAACACCAATTCCTTCCGACATTGGCAGAAGTCTTGAATGCCATAAAGCTACTGAAAGTCAGTTGGAAAGGCAACAGGAACAGAGGGGATTACTCTGGAGGCACTGAGAATGGATCCAAAGACCCCCTCAGCGGATATGCTACTGAAAAAAGTTTTTAAAGAAGAAAGATAGGGTACCTACCGATTGAAAGAAAGGTTATCTTGAACTTTTGAGAAAACTAGCGGAGAACAGGATCACGTGGAGATGTTCCACTCGGAACCCAAAGGAATAATAATGATGATAATAATAAAGTGTTTAACACATCAGTGAACATTTTATGAGGAACTCCTTCTAAACTCACTTGTGATTCTGGTTTAATTGAGCTGGTAGATACTGTAATAACTTCATTATTTGTAGAAGTAATAGAGGTAGCCGCGGCAGCATTCACGTTATTATTACTACTACCATTATTACTAGTATTATTGTCTTTAACACCAGATTGTCCACCATCCGTCAAAGTTGTCGTCGTTGTTGCCCCACCACTAGTTGACACAATTGTGCTTGTTGCAACAACATTTTGATTACCAATCGGTTGTAGCCCACTGGCACTATCCGCCAGAATATGAAAATGTGCTGTACTCGGGGGACCTAAACTCGCTGCTACAGCTAGTCGTGCTGCTTCTGTTGCCCCACCTGATACACCCAGTGTACCACTACCACTAGTTGATGTTGTCAATGGAGCTGTCACTTGATAATTAATTAGGCCCCATTGTTCTAAAAAGGCGTGTACACGTAGGATAGAACACACGTCACCGGTAAGATTACGTCGACATGCTGTGAAGGTAAGATATTCCTAGAGAGAGAGAAGAAAAAGGCAAATACAGATTAGCAATTACAGAAATAATGGACCGAATACAAAATGAGAATGTATAACTTTTTAAGTAGTTATCTGGAAACAGGAAATATACTCCAAAAGTATAACTACCTACTCATAGTAAGATAGACATTAAAATTAAGCGTAACGTTGTATACTACTGATTTACTGATATGAGTAGTCGACTACCAATCTTATCAAACACTTGTCAACTTTACATACGCAGATGAAATTATCCTCCCAGGTGAAAACGCTAACAAAGTACAGAGTATCTTGAACACCTTGAGCAGAAATTTTCGAATGTTTGGTATGTGATCCACCCCTGTCAAATACGTAAGATGATGCTACAAAAAACTGATCTAAAATGACTCTGAGTTTACACATAAGGAGCATTTCACTTATTTGGATGATTGCATCAGCGCACTAATGGACTGATTGCAGATGAAGCCTCAGAACGGAAACAAAAGTTTCATGTGACATCTCTGATGTAAATGTACTGCATATCAATTCGATTTGTCCTTCTTTACGGCTGTCAGGCATGACCATTGAAAGTTGTCTTTGACCACATATGTTTGCATAGTATTTCATGTGCTAAGTAGTATAATATCTTGAGTAATGTTGAGGTTAGCCACACACAGTTCGGTTAAGGTGGTTAGTCAATTGATGAATGTGGCTAGAACACAAATAACGAATGGCAAGTCACCTCCTTCGTCATAGAGCAATGACAGCTGACATATGATTGGGTTAGAAAGTGGTTACAGGTGGTGTCTGATCAAAACGCAGGATCAATTCATGAAGTATTTTACTGTTGGTTTGAATTACATAGGGAGGTTTAGACTGCCTGATTTGGGTCCTGTTGATCGTATTGCTCATAACTGTTCTCTCAATGGTAAAGATGCATTCAGTTCGTGTAATCTCCCTTAGATCTATCAATTCCTCATGTTTTTCTATGTAATTATTTCTTTTTCTCTCGTACAATTCTCCTCATTATAGAAGTCTTTTGAAATTTTTCTCTACCATTTTGTGGTATATGGAGTGTGGCAAGCCGAACTATTGCACTTCTGTGAAAGTTCTAGTTTGAAGATCAGTCATTCATATTAAACAGTAGTGCTTTCTGGTTAAATCGAAGTAATCTACCCACTGGACGGTTATTTCGACCACTCAAGGACGAAATCACCAATTCGAACCAGGTTTCAAAGATACATGAGAACCTCCTCCTCCTCTTCCCCGATAGGAAAAAACAAAATACAACAGGATAATTCCAAGCTCATATAACTGATTGTAAAGTGAAAGTGTTAGCTGTATTGAACACAATTTATACGATACAGCCTAATGATCCACAGAGCGTTAAGAGACACACTGTGGACTGAAACACTTCATAAATGAAAGGTGTTGGTTTCCAGGGATTCAAATGATTTCAAGATTCATCACAAACTGACTTCGGTTAGAGGAGGTACTGAACAGTTGTTTCGTCCTAGTTTGGGACTCTTCAGCACTACGCATCCAGGACCTTCAGGTTACTAGACGAACTTGTTGGACATTCAAACGCTGGGATGGAATCCAATAATCCATGAATTCTGACTTCTGCTAATTCACGATGCATATATCGCGACAGACAACCAGTGTGCCATCGGCGACTATTTGTCCTGACACTCAACCTGGTGGAATCCGCTGGTTACCACTTCGCACACCACAACTTCGGGCGACCTTATCCTGTAGTCATTGAGCACTGGGGTAACCACTAGACTAATTTTGAAGTCTGTTGATGGTCTGTTCAGTGGTAGAATACTGGCCAAGACGCCACATATTGTCCGGGGTTCGACCCCTGGCCGATGCAATCACTCCTTAACCTCGGTTGACCGGTAGTAAACCTGGTCCAGAAAACAAAATGTCGAGTGTGAGGTTAGTAACCCTACCCTGTAGTGAAAGAAATGGACACCACAGGTATTAGAACTTCAAAGCTTAAGCTTGAGGCCCCATGTATTCAACATCAAAAACGCAGAGAAATAAATTGAAGAATTATCGCGTCGAAGTGTTGGTTTGTAGAGGTTTAATCGCTTTTAAGATAAATCATGATCATTACATCATAGACAAAGTAAAAGGAAAAGAAAAACACATCAGATTAGATCAGATGAAAATAGCTCACCTGCGGATTCAATCGATACGTATCAACCATAAAATTACGATATGCTAAATACACTTCTGGTGTTTTACTTTTATTCTGACCATTGAAAAACTCCGGTAGTGCACGACGTTCAATCCCATGAATAGCATTATAATCGAACCAGGCGGAATACGATGGTATCACTATACAATGAGCTTGTTCTGTAACACTCAAATCAGTATGAATTCCACCTTGTCGACTGCCTTCATCACCTTGATTCGATGTCCCACCAGGACCTAAATCACCGACTTGAAACGTTTTTTTATAAAGGGAGAAAAAAGGAAGGGCATATCATCAGAAACAGTTCGATTATATTATGATACACATTTAAAGTTAGCTGGGCGATAGTTATGGTGTGATATGTATACAGTTAAGAGTCTTAGGTAGATTATCAGAAATCTATGGGTGCAGTGGTACATGCATATTACATTACTCCCACCCTACGGAAAATTCAAAAAAGATATCTCATGGACGACTTCCAAAAGAATGGATATCCACGGAATTTCATCAAAAGACATATACCCTCAAGCCAACCTATCAAACTAAAAGCCCCCAAGGAAAGCAAAAGAAAATCACCCTGCCTAACATATATATATATATATATATATATATATAGGCTATCTCAGAAATCACTGTGCAAAGCGATCTAAACACTATTGGATGGCCGGTTCGGTCGTTTGGGACTGAGTTCATCAGCTGTGCACTCAGTTTAGCTCAGCTAGAAGAGAACCAAATCGGTCTAAAGCACCCGAATTCTCTCCTTAGTGATGCAAGTCGTTATGCAACAATCAGATCAGTCTTTAGAATTAAAGCTTTTTGAATCAATTACTCCCGACCGATAGCTGCTACCTTGACGTGGTGGTTGGGCTTACACTATGCTGGGGAACGGGGGTGTAACAGCAGTGACGTATTTCCCTCAGATGACCAGCATGCCAGCCAGCTATGCTGTCTCTCCAATCCGGAGAAAAGGGGTTAGAAAAGGTCGACCCCAAAATTGTACATCCCAACTTACCCAACCTACAGTGGTCCGTAACCGGCGGTGTTTACTAATAAGGAACCAATCCCAGAAACCAGTTCATACAGGCCGTGTGTGACCGGCTGGTCTCAAGCAGTTGTCTCCTGGGTTCTGCTCTGCGGTCACGCAACACTAACTCTGTTTCTGTTTCAGGTACCCGAAGAATCAATCAACTTTCACGGTTTGGGCAGCCGGGAAGTCTGTCTATCTATCTATCTGTTTTCGACATAGAACTATACACAAATTTACGGAAGTTCAAGTCGCAACACTCCGTGTAGCACGCGAAGCAAGAGAAGAAAGTACAAGAAAAGCATAATAGAGGCAATGAGCAGAGGTGTGAGACAAAGGAGTAATAACGAAGAACAAAACAGTTTCATTGGAAATCATAAGTCATAAGGAGTGGATGCATCTGCACCACTGAGAACGATTTTGAGCCATGTCACCAATTGTTTCCAACCATAGATTTTTACTGTCCCGAGGACCCCAGCCTGGAAGTCTACACCTTCCTACGTGGCTTAGACCAACTGTTGTGGATTTCATTGACTGGTGAAGCCAAGTTTTTGTTTGACCGCCGCTAGCTTTTTTCCAGTCTGACCCTATATCCGCTAACATAGCTCGTCGAGGGAGGCGATGACTTGGCAAACGTAACACATGTCCTAACCATCTCAGTCTTTGTAGCTTCACGACTTCGTCGATTGATTTCCCCTGTTTACCTAGAACTCTACGCCTAACCTCCAGGTTGCTCACCTTATTATGCCACTTTACACCGGAAATAGAGCGCAGGCACTTATGATCAAAGACAGCTAGTCTTTTCATGTCTCCCACTCTCAGTGGCCAGGTCTCACAGCTGGCCATAAAGGAGGACGGAGCGGACTGATGAGCAGTACACCCGCCCTTTGGTCGACAGCCAGCCAGCCGGATATCACGTCCACGCCAGAGACGGCGTAAACTAACAAATGCGAAACGAGCCCCCTGTATTCGTGCTGAGATTTCGTCAGAGATCAACCCGTTGGCACTGGCTGATGGTACTTCCCAAATAAGTGAAGCGGTCAACGTGCTCTACCACTTCACTTCCTATTTTTAAACTAGGCGTCGATGTAGTCCAGTCCTGTAACATCATCTTGCATTTGGCGGGAGAGAATCGCATGCCAAACATTCGTAGATTACAGCTCAAGGTGTTCAGAAGACTCTGCATTTCGTCAGCCGGGAAGTAACAACCGCTCACACGCTTCTAAAAGCACATGAAGCCTTCCTGTAACAGAATCAATTACTGGTGTAAATGAAGTCTGTCTGTCTGTTTTCGACATAGAACTTTGCACAAATGTGCGGAAGTTCAAGTCGCCACATTCCGTGTAGCACGCGAAGCAAGAGAAGAAAGTACAAGAAAAGCATAATAGAAACAGTGAGCAGACGTGTGAGACAAAGGAGTAATAAAGAAATACAAAACAGTTTCATTGGAAATCATAAGTCACAGGGAGTGGATGCATCTGCGCCACTGAGAACGATTTTGAGCCATGTCACCAATTGTTTCCAACCATAGATTTTTACCGTCCCGAGGACCCCAGCCTGGAAGTCTACATCTTCCTACATGGCTTAGACCAACTGTTGTGGATTTCATTGACTGATGCCAAGTTTTTGTTTGACCGCCGCTAGCTTTTTTCCAGCCTGACCCTATATCCGCTAACATTGCTCGTCGAGGGAGGCGATGGCTTGGCATACGTAACACATGTCCTAACCATCTCAGTCTTTGTAGCTTCACGACTTCGTCGATTGATTTCCCCTGTTTACCTAGAACTCTACGCCTAACCTCAATGTTGCTCACCTTATTATGCCACTTTACACGGGAAATAGAACGCAGGCACCTATGATCAAAGGCAGCTAGTCTTTTCATGTCTTCCACTCTCAGTGGCCAGGTCTCACAGCTGGCCATAAAGGAGGACGGAGCGGACTGATGAGCAGTACACCCGCCCTTTGGTCGATAGTCGAACATCTCGTCTACGCCAGAGTCGGCGAAAACTGGAAAATGCGAAACGAGCCCCTTGTATTCGTGCTGAGATTTCGTCAGAGATCAACCCGTTGGCACTGGCTGATGGTACTTCCCAAATAAGTGAAGCGGTCAACGTGCTCTACCACTTCACTTCCTATTTTTAAACTAGGCGTCGATGTAGTCCAGTCCTGTAACATCATCTTGCATTTGGCGGGAGCGAATCGCATGCCAAACATTCGTAGATTGCGGCTCAAGGTGTTTAGAAGAATCTGCATTTCGTCAGCGTCTTCGCCTAGAAGGACTATATCGTCTGCATATTCCAAGTCAACGAGATTATTCCCCGGTAGCAAGTCAATCCCTGAGTCACTGAAGTCACCTAGGGTTAAGTCCATTAACACATCTATGATGAAGTTGAATAGAAAAGGAGATAATGGGCATCCTTGACGGACACCACTGGTCGTCATCAGTTCAGATGACAGCTCGCCGTAAGCCCTCACCTGGCTGTATGAGTACGAATAGAGTGCCTTAATCAGTGCAATATATTTTCTTGGAATTCCCTTTACAGTCACCACTTTCACTTATCTAGACAGAATCCTTTCAACTGCAAGCGGAGAGGATATGGATGTCAAATGCAGAAAGGATCAGAAAAAGCAACACAGATTTACATTAATCTAGAATCAATGTGGCAATGTACTGCATTTACAGAGAGTAAGGAATAAGATCCAAATTTCCATAACTGATGTCAAGTCAGTCATCAGTGCTTCGTGAGGAGTCAGAGATTTGGTTCAAGCGTTAACAGAAGCTCCCCACTTTGCTGCTCCATGCTGAAGATCAGATGGTCAGATAGAGAAGATAAACAACAACAATGTGAACTCTGGCTGGCTGCAAACCTGCCAAGAAGCTATTGCTCAACTAATATGCAAAAGAAAGTGGAGACGGTTACAGGATTTCATCATGAGTTGACATTAGTTAGAGAACCATTGGAAAACCATATGGGAGTACTGGACAGCTGTTTCCTACTTCCTAGTTAGGGACTATTCATCAGTACCCACGCACCGGGGTTCGAACCCAGGACCTTCCGGTTACAAGGCTAGCGAGCTCGTAGACCATTCAGCCACTGGGACCCGATCCAATGGCTAGTCCATGAATTTTATCTTCTGCCAATTCACGATACAGCGCGACTCCTAGCCAATGTCTTCGGCGAGTATTTGTCCTCACACACGACGTTCTGCACCCTACTGGTCCCGACTTCTCACTAGAACCCCAGGCAACTAACTAACTGAATAGGGCAAGTCGCTAGTGAACATCTCAATGATATTCAAGTGTCGGTTTGTAGGGATTCGGTTGATTGGTTACAGGATTTCATCATGGGCTGACATTGGTTAGAGATCCATTGGAAAACCTGGGAGTACCGGACAGCTATTTCCTGCGTCCTATTTTGCGACTCTTCAGCAGTATGCACCCACCGGGGTTCGAACCCAGGGGATGGATCATACACAAATGGAGGAGACCATTGGGCGACATCATGCGCAAGGCTCTCCAGTGGAATCCAAATGGTGAACGATGAGCTGGGCGCCACTTCAACGGTAACATGGAGAATATCGTGTGAAGAGGAAATGAAAGCTTATGTGCCGTCGGGAAGCCAGCTCAGGGACTGTAGAGAACAGAGTGAAGTGGAGAGGCGTGCTGCTGCTGTGTTCCATTAGGAACTCAACGGAATAATATGCATATGATCTCGTAAATGATCCAGATAGTGAAGAGCGACAATTTTAGTAGCACAAAGTCGTTCATATTCTTTGAGGAGGGGGGGGGAGAAAGCCCGATAAAAAAATCGATCGCGACACACAAACACACCAAGCTGCATTACCTCCACTCATCCCCGCATGATATTCATTGATTCCACCATCTACACCGTCACCTGTATCATTGTCTTCATCTAGATCAAACAGTGATCTTCCAGTACCTAGATCGCCACCACCACCGGCACCACTATGCAAAATGTTATTGCTATTATTGTTGTTGCCAGTTCGTGTTGATCGGGATGCATTGAACCCAGAACCATTAGCAGCTGGTGTTGTTATCGGCGTCACTTTGTTCGGTGGTTCTGGATCATCAAAATCTTTCGTAATATCTGTATCATTAGTATCATCTTTATTAGGATCTTGTGGACCAGTATGACATGAAGATTCATCTTCATCCTTTAAATGAGAAAATCAAAGAGAAAAAAATCGATAACAACAACAAGATAGGATTGGATGTTGTGTCATGTCAAGGGCACATAAACGTACATTTAAACAAAGAAAAAGAAGTGTACATATCATCAGTAAACTGTTAGTTGTTTTTAGAAAGTCGGTTGCACAGAAAACAGATTTCACTATGTACCCGACTATGAGCTGCATCGATTGCTTCAGTAGTGCAGTGTAGAATGCACACCCAACCACGCGCAAGTACGTGCTCTTGGATTCGATTCCCGACCGACACACTCCTTTCACTCGTGTCCGGTTTACTAATCGATAGAAAGCCCAGAATAGTGGGAATCATCACACCTACTGAAATGTTAATGCTTCAAAACCTTGAAGCTCCAGGTTCCACTTGAAATACAATAAGAAATGAAGAAGAGGCTACGCGCTACACTTGATATAAGTATAAAACTTGAGCACTGTGGTAGAGTATAACTCCATTAGGGATAAGATTTTATTTTGATAAGTCACACAGTGTTATACAGTAATATTAACTGATGACCGCGTTTCGAGCACAAATTATTGCTCATAATCACATCTAGTTACTCATTTATATACATGTGTGGAATTGATTGGATATCTGAATAAAAATCGATATAGGATGATGTACATTCAGAAATAGTAATGTGAGTGTTATTGATCAAGTACAATTAGATGGGAAATCAGACAAGTGTTTTTTATAGTCATAATAAGTAACTTGTTAGAATGTTGTGATGTGCTTGAATTGAAATAGAATTTTGAGATTATTTATTATCCTCTTCTGATTTGACTGACTGGTGGTAATAATATCTTCCATAGATACCTTGGGTATTCGCATTGAGTCGCTTCTATTGTATGTGTTGGGTGTGTAGACTCAAAGAACCGGGACTCAGTAATCAATCTCTCTCTCCACCTACCTATATTACTTTTTAGAATTTTAACCCTATCCCACCCTATTGTGTGGTTGTGCGTTAATGCATGCAGTGTGATTGTTGAGCTTCTTTCTAAATTACTTATCTTCTCGGGGTCAACCATTCCTACCTTAGCTAAATTCTTAAGTTCCGACAATCTGATTATCCCCGATCTACTAGTTTGACCTATATAGTTGACTTCACAGTCATTGCAGGGTAATTGGGTCCACCCGGTCTTTTAGCCTACAGAGCTTGTGGAGTACGTAACAATAAGACTGTACACTTTTTGTTAGTTGTAGAAATTAGAGACATTGTACATGATTTTTGTTTAAAACGATTCATGTTTAAATATATATAACTTTCGTGTACAATTCGAAATACACTATACTGTTGGAAGCTTCGCCTTCTGTCTGGCCATTACTGCTTACTTGCTCTACTCATACCGTGTTGTATACTTTGAAATTCATTGCAGGAGTCTATCATCCTTATCCGAAGACAGCTCTACAACCGGTACACAGCATCAACCAGCAGACGCAATTCGAACAGTGAACGCTCCCGTGGATTATACCAATAATTTGTAGCAGCGGACTCTAACATTATATCCAAGTAACCTTTTTATTAATATAACGCATTACTGCATTTTTTGATAATATATTGTTACCCTATCATCTCATTGACTTGGATTTTTATTAGCATATTTGTAATGTTAGTGAGCTCTCCTAACAGTCCCCTACAAGCTTGTCCCCAAGTGAGTTTGTAGGTTTGAATGTCACCCTAATTCCTGCTTTATTAAGAATCCTACGTAGGGTCTCCGATGTCCCCTCCTTATATAGTATAACAGTAGATGACTTGTATTCTCTCTTATTTATGTTATCACTACTAGTGTGCTACGTTTTTTCTATATTTTTTTAAAATTTTTATTTTTGATTATAGTTTCATTCCACACTGTATTTTTGGTACAAGTATGGAATTTTCAGCATGGATATCGGTAGCCCAAAATTTTGCAGGCCGACCATAGATATCAGGTGTGCGTCGGCAGGGGATCGAACCTCAGACCATGTGCATAGTCGGCGAGAGTCCTAACCACTGTGCCACCGACACACATAAAATAAAAGTTGATGACCCTCTCTAGCTGTCATCTAGATTAAAATAGGTGGCGAGAGAGAGAGGGACTCGAAACTGGGACCAACTGAGTGAAATTGTAGAGAGCCCAAGTTAATGAGCCATAACCAGGCAACTACATACAGGAGGATCTACAACCTACATATATATATATATATATATATATATATATATATATATATATATATATATATATATATATATATTGGTGTGACCTACTCTATACGCAGTTTCACAAGCTTTGGTAAAGCATGAAAAAGTTAGGATCATTGACTCAAGGCGTGTCTGCTAGTGGTATATGTCCCTGGTAATGCTACAATAACACAACACATATTGCAAAACATCAAACATCTACACATTTAAAGAGTGAGTAAAAAGAAGAATTGAAAGAAAATGAGAAAGGCAATACAAAACACTAGAGAGTCACACAAAATGCTATGGAACAGCGAATAAAAGACACATCGGGTATTGAATTTTGAGATAAACATGAAACACTGAAATACACAAGTGTACCAATGCGATTGACTTTGAATCATACTCAGCTAAATTTACAAAGCTTCACAGCCTTTACTGTCTTGTCAATTAGTAAGTCTATCTCCTACTGCAATCAGTTTTCCCACTGTCATATGCTGTGAAGTGATAGAACATGCTGACCACTTCACCTATTTTGGAAGTTGTATCAGCATCACCGGACTGATTGGCGACGAAATCTCAGCACGATTTCAAAAAGCGTGAGCTGCTTTCGCTGACTTACACCATCTCTGGCGTAGGCATGACATCCGGCTATCAACCAAGGGAAGTGTGTACTGCTCAGCAGTTCTCTCCGTCATTCTCTATGGCTCTGAAACATGGCCAATACGCGTTGAAGACATGAAAAGGTTGACTGCTTTCGATCATAGATGTCTACGATCTCTTTCTCACGTTAGGCGGTATAATAAGGTAAGTAATGTTGACGTTAGGCGTAGAGTGTTGGACAGGCAAACACGGAAAATCAATCGACGAGGCTATTAAGTTACATAGATTGAGATGGCTTGGTCACGTGCTGCGCATGCCTAACCATCACCTCCCCCGACGGGCATTATTAGCTGATATAGGTGCAGGTTGGAAAAGAGTAAGTGGTGGCCAAACAAAAACATGTCATCAATCCATGAAATCCTTGACAGTAAAACTGAGTCAGGTAGGTAGGGAGATGCAGACTTCCGGGTTAGGGCCCTCGGGACTCTAAGAATCAATGGCTTGAGACAATAGGTGACATGGCTCAAAATCGTTGTCAATGGCTAGCGCAGATATAGTATACAGTCTCTGTAATCTTTGATATTCCTTTCTACCATTACCCATTCTGTTTCGCTCTTATACCTGTCGAACTCTATTGATTCTCTTCACTCATCTTCTTGTTTACCTTTGTGTGCTATTTGGAAGGTGGCAACTGGAACTGCTGCACTTCAGTGCGAAGTTCTATGTTGAATCCAGACAGACATATGCTGTCAAACCACCTGCTTCAAACTGACTTCCATACACAATCAGAAGGTAACGGAGACAAGTGATCAAGGGTAGAACAAGAGAAAAATACTTAGAGATGATGGAGTGTGTGTACGTATTACTTACCAGCGAATATTTCACTCCATACAAAACTATGACAATTTTTGTGTGACAAAATCCTTACGAGATTAAGAAGTAATTGCCCAAAAAGCGTTTACAACAACATCATTCACTTGTCATGAGAAATAAAACATCCAGTTTCGATGTATGCAAGTCATTTAACAACGCTATTAACCTGTGTGTGAGGTGACCTAACTAGAAGTGTCGTATTTTCAAAGAAGTGGAATGTTGTACAAACTTCAGGAATACTCGATTAATTCAACCATTACATTACCAAGATTATGAATCAATCTTAAGTTCTAAAAAGTAAAAAGTTTACTAAGTTGGGTTACTCATTGCGGGGTGAGTCTTTAGTTAAAGACGTAGCCATCGTGTGTTCAACTCCAAATTTGATATGAACCTAATGAAGATACATGAATACACATTTTATACGGATCAGATGTTAGAACCTAGCTACTTGGAGCATACTTTTTATATACAAGGCGATTACGAGTCGCATTTATGGTGTCAATCAGTTACACAGGTTGACTTAGATAGGGTGGGATTCGAACCTGTGATCCCTTAGTTGGAAATCGAGTACTCAGACTAATAAGCAACATCCCCCCCATGCTTAGAGATCAAATACTGTAGTTTGTTTACATATCCCTTCTCAAAAATTTGGTTATTCTGACAATGCACTTTCTACCAGTACTAGCTAGTAGTCGTCTTAAGGGATCATCCCTGAGTCCATTTCCCTTGGTTTCCAGTGTAATTTATGGCGTCGCTGTGTTCGCTTGCTGAGCTGGATGCTTTAGTTGCGGAGGCTTCATTATCCTACTAGACAACATCCTCAGAGAATACTTCGATTTGAAGTAAGCTTTTAAAATTCTCCACGAGTTCATCAGTCACCTCTCTCTGATAACCTTCAGTGCGATCACTTGTTTTTAAAAAATATATTCTCACGTCCTAACCCACTTGTATTGATATTATTGCCTTGTTCAGGAGAAGATAATTTGCAACAACCATGAAAAAATAGGTCAAAGTCGACGCACTCTTTGTATTCGCATCTATGAGCACAAGCCGGCTGTGAAACGATGCGATATCCACTAAAGAGAGGAATCACGAAAAATGGTGGAGAATTTCTAGAAGGATGGTATTCAGATGAATCTGGAATCAGCAGATACATTGACATATAGACAAGATTTATCAGTCCATAGGGAGGAAATCACATGAAGAAAACATCAACATTCTGGACAAGGCAATTATACCAATACAAGTGGGTTAGAACGTGAGAATATATTTTTTAAAAACAAGTGATCGCACTGAAGGTTATCAGAGAGAGATGACTGATAAACTCGTGGAGAATTTTAAAAGCTTACTTCAAATCGAAGTATTCACCGAGGATGTTGTCTAGTTAGGCAATGAAGGCTTCGCTAAGAGTACACAACTACACCATAACCTGGTTAGGTCACCGGAAACCATGGGAGGAAGGCTCGGGGATAGGGGGCAGTGGCGTCTTAAAAGAACCACCTACTCAGGTATGAGCGTCTGAGAAAAAGTATGCCAACCTTCACACAAATTGTGAGGTTTTCTGCGAAGCACCTCTTGGTTAGCAAACTTACTGCTTTGAATTACAAAAGCAGCAAACATTCAACGATGTTTTTCCCTTTATTCCTCTACGTTGCCAGTGGAACATATGACTTCAAGCAAGAGATTTGAAGTTCCGGTAGCACTGGTATTTACTTTTACGGAATGGAGTTGCTAGCCTCATGTCCAACCTTCCCTCTTTACCAGTCTTATTACTGGTTTAGCGAGGAAAAAGGGGTGCGCTGAGTTCGGGCGGGGATCGAACCCCCAAACCATATGCAGCGTTGTTGGCGAGCATTCTACCACTGTGCCACCCAGGCATAAAATTCTTCTGTTCTTAAAATTGCTTCGGAGTTATCAGTTCTACGACAACAAAAGTTACACTTATTGTTACATCCAAAGATTTACGCACAGTTAAATACATAGAAAGCCAAAACAATTATGAAATAATTGGAAACCAGACAAACAAACAAACTCAAGCACAATCGTTTGCACAGATAAAAAAAGGAGAGAGAAAAACTAAACACCAACAAACACAACAAAGCTTACTGTGTGCCCGAACAAGGTTACAGTGGCCTATGTATAAAAAACAATCAGGTTACGAATACGTATATATGTATGTATATATTAAACAGAATGATAACTAATGGAGTGTTAATGAAATTTAGTCCATTGAGTTTGAAGCACATCCCCTAAGTCAAGAAAGATAATACCATGAGGCACTAACACCTAGTAGGTGGGAAAAAGAAACCTGATTGTTTCGTGCTAGTCAATCTTTCTGCCTGAAATGCTTTTCTCCTTCTCTGTCTTTATTTCAAGAATCTTTTCTGACTGCGAAGAAAAGCATTACTGGTTCACGCGGTTGATTATCAAGAAATACATAGCTTAGAACTCTACTTTACTCGAAAAAAGACAGTGTGGATGACAGCGTGCTAAAAAAAGGAACGGATAGCAAGTCACTGCTGAATAAAGCACATAATAAGGTATGATCTCATGCAACTAGATGGGAAAATATCCTCCAGGTTTATTATCTTTCGCCTTATAGCAGTCCTCCTATCCATGAATTCAAAACCTAATCTTCATGAATGTTATCAACAGGGGGAATAGGAAAGAAATGAAGAGATCAGGTGATTCTATCCAACCGGATGACTAGTTGGGAACAATGAAATGTTGGTTTGCTCCCAGTCCCCTCCCTAGCTCTACCCAATATGGTCTGCACCAGACTTACAAGAAGTAGGTGATCGAAGTGATAGCAGAAATGGTTTGTCATGTTTAGGTCTGTGACAGATAAGCAGATAGACAATAAATGTTTATACCATAGTCCAATGATAAAAGCCGAACATTTGTTGAACACACACATATGTGACACGAAAAACATGAACAATCATCACATAACTGTTTTAGAAGAAGCTTTCGTATGACCGTAAACTCACTGGGGAGGGGGGGATCATAACGAAGAGAGGACTGTGTTTACTTTCAAGCATATGAGAACATTAGAGTTAGTAAGTGGTTACACATAATGGTTAAGCTGAAAGGAAGCACAACTTCCAATGATGCCACCTATACGACACTTTTGAATATTTATGAACTTGAAATCGTTTATGAATTTGCTAAAAACTGTTTGTTACAAATGTTAGTAGACACCAGACCGATAGCTGCTACCTTGATGTGGTGGTTGGGCTTGTACATCGCGATGACCCAAGAAGCTACACTGGCTGGAATCAATGTTCCTGCAAGTCCTACCTACCATGCCAGGAAGGTTGTTAGGATAGCGATTAAGCTAAAAGCAGTTACCGACATGGTGTAAGAATTTTTTCTCTTAGACTATACTGGGGGTCTGTGGACGAAATCGTACTGCTGGGGAATAGGGGTGTAACAACAGTGAGATGTTTCCCTCAGATGACCAGCATGCCGACCAGATATGCTGTCTCTCCACTCCGGAGAGAAGGGGTTAGAAAAGGTCGACCCGAAAATTGTACATCCCGACTTACCCAACCTACGGTGGTCCGTAACCGGCGGTGAGTTTACTAATACGGAACCAATCCCAGTAACCAATTCATACAGGCCGTGTGTGACCGGCTGGTCTCAAGCAGTTGTCCCCTAGGTTCTGCTCTGCGGTCACGCAACACTAACTCTGTTTCTGTTTCAGGTACCCGAAGAATCAATCAACTTCCACGGTGTGGGCAGCCAAGAAGTAACAACCGCAAACACTACCAAAGGCACACGAAGCCTTCCTGAGCACTATTCTCTTTTACTCACATCACCTTCCTCATCTTGCTTCTCTACTACAGTCAGCATTAGTAGACTAGATTTCATTTGAAGCCTTAAAATAAGCAGCAGTATGTACGGTACAATAAACAACCCTACTATTTGAGAGCAACCTAAAAGACATTAGGCCAACAAGCAATTGTAAGATAGTGTCATAAAGAAAGAGGAATAATCTTTTGATAACTGGAAAGCACTAACAAGCTACCAAGACTTCAGAAGATGAGAAAAATCAAAAAAACTTAGGCAAGTGTTAGTTTGCAGGGAGTTGATGGATTTCAAGACTGATCACAAACTAACTTCAGTTAAAGAACCATTGGAAACCAGAGAGTAGTGAACAGTTGTTTAGTTTTTGCTTAGGACTCTTCAGCAGTGCATATTTATGTCCCTATAGAGAGGGGGGTCGAACCCAGGTAGTTCAGGGCCATTGGGTTCTGCCCCCACTGACTGAATGGTCCGCGGAACTGCCGTATAACCTGAAGGTCCCGAATGCGTACTGATGAAGACTCCCTAAAACTAGGACGAAACAGCTCTCCAGTACTCCCTACTAGTTTTCAGTGGTTCTCTAACACTTAAGTCAATGCATAATCAATTTTGATATTTAAGCAAACCGATGACTGACTAAGCCAACAAGCCAACGGGACCATAGAAACACTATACAATATAACCATATACCTTCTAACAATCACCTTTTCCAACAAGCCTGGATTTCGGTAAGAGTAAGTCACTTAAACAGGGATATTGTATGATGATTATTTTGGATCTATAAACTGAAAATGAGGTGGTAAAATATCTTCAGATAAAAAAGACTATCAAGGACGCTAGCTAGAGTTTAGATTCAAGAGGGAATCGATGAACTGTTACTTAATATAACACCTCACACTGAAACTTCCTTACTATTATTTTTGTAATATTCACTACATAAGTTAGCCAGCTACAAAATTCCACAACTATTAGAAGTTGAATAAGACGTACTACCTGCAAATTATTTTACATCCTTATAGCCATAATGGTTCTCTAACCAATATCACCTCATGATGAAATCCTGTAACCAATCAACCAAATCCCTACAAACCAATACTTGAGTATCAATGATATGCTCACTGGAGACTTGCCCTATTCAGATAGGTAGTTAACTGGATTCTAGTGAGAAGTCGCGACCAGTGGAGTAAAGCAAGTCGGGTGTGAGGAATAATACTCGCCAACGATAACACTGGCTAGCACCAGTCACGCTATACCATGAATTAGGCGAAGTTAGAATTCATGGACTAGTCATTGGATAGGGTCCCAGTGTAGCTTAGAGGTCTACGAGCTCGCCTGCCTTGTGACCGGAAGGTTCTGGGTTGGAATCCCCGTGTGTGCGTACTGTCGAAGAGTCCCAAAACTACAACGAAACAGCTATCTGGTACTCCCAGGTTTCCTAATGGTTCTCTAACTGATGTCAACTTATAATGAAATCCTGTATACAATTATGTAATCTAAAAATTAACCAGCCAACTAAACTCACCTCTTTTCGAATTTTACGAGATGATCCATGCCCACTTGGACCACGATTTGAACGTTCATGAGAACCGGTGATAGATGAACCAGGACGTCGTTTTTTACCACTCGCATTTGGTTGATATAAATCTGATGCTGATGGAGAAGGTGATCGACGACGTTTTTTCTTACTTCCACTATTATCTGGGTGTGATGATGGTGTAAATGAACTACTGAATTGAGAAGATGAAGAACTACTATTCACACCTGATGCTGTATTTATCGCCATAAACTCATCCGCTTGAAAAAAGAAACCAAAAGTTGGAAGTAAATTTTTGCGTAGTTAATAATGGACACACTCACGGGCAAAATTTAGTGTCAATCAAAAACAAAAGACCTGTGCTTTCATTTTCGTATTTACCGTCACCAAAAGACACACTTTTATCTATTTCTACATGCCATAGGTAAAATTGAAAAAGTAAGACAAACCTTAATTGCTTTAAAATCAGTTTGGAAATCGGTTACATTCGACGACGACGACAACAACAACATATATATCAAGTCAGTCAGTACCTCTATGTGGTTCAGTGTCTGCATCACCAAAAGCATTTTCAACAGATTACTGCTGACTTTCATCAACAGCTGCCTACTTCACTGAATACTGAAGACCAGATGACCGGCTAGAAAGGATTAGCAACACGAAACTTTGGTGGGCAGAGAACCCACCGTCCAACAAATATGCAGAAGGGAATAGAGATAGAGTAAATACACGTTGAAATGACATCATGGGCCATTACGGCACCCGAGTAGAAGCCGAATAGGAAGAGACCAGTTTGGAGTCACTTCGAGGGCGACATGGAGGAGATGGTGTGAGAAGGAAATGAAAGCTTATGTGCAACCGTGGAACTATTTACAAACCACTGTAGAAAACAGAGTGAAATGGTGGTGTTGTAAAGCTAAATGTTATACCCGGATAAAGTGAGTATTTCTGTTCAAAACTTTAGTAACAATGTTCATCCCTAGGGAACTCCATTTGAGACCTTTGTCGCCTTCAATCACTGAATATAGTTGGCAACATAAACATTTCTGCGCCATAATAGTTAATGTCTGTTTAGATATCAGCTTTGGAAAACGTTAATAGGTTATCACTAGATTCACTCTGACTTTGCAATATATGAGCTATTGATCACTAGATATGACACGTGCTACATCAAAGATGTAACGTTCACAATAAAAATGCATTCTAAAGTACTGAATAATTCCAAAATATCGTGGGATAAGTTTCATGAAAAACTTACGTGAGTATGTCTGTCTAGGCTTAACAGAACCTGAGACTAAGAAATCCTCTTCAATCATCCATTCATATGCTTCATCAGAATATAAAAGCCAACGAGCGTCTACTTCCCATGGACGAACATTTTCAAGTTGAAAAGGTGATTCAGTCTCAGGAGACCATTCATACTGTAGACCTTTAAATTAGTAAAGGAAATATAAAGAAAATAAATAACTTGTTGTTATAGAGGAAGTGCCGAGTACCATACACTAAAGTAGGAACTAACCGATAAATAAACTAACTTTGGGGGTGGGGAATTAGCAAAGCGAAATCCAAATTTCTACGCGTAACCGTTAGTGAGTATAGTTCAGATAAGAGAAATTTACACATAGAGGTTAAAAACAGACTATGAATAGCCTTCGCATATAGGAATATATGCAATACCTTACTGCTCCATTATTAGCCGGGGTGGAATGAGACGCACATCTCTTTGTTTAATAGCCTACACATGCATTAGTTAATAACATAATTATTAAAAGTTATCTATATGCCATTATGGACTTACCAGTATACCAAGTGGTATGCGAAGCGGGTGAGTATAACCAGTGTAGAAGAACTCCTCGACCTTCGTGAAACATAACACGGAATCGTTGAACGTGAAAATCATCTCGACTGTCTCCAGACCAGTTTGAAGGTGGTGGATGTAAAATATGTGTAGCTTCAGAAGCTGACTCCACTACAGAGACATTTAAGCGTTTAGCACATTCTCGTAGCCTGTTATTTAAGTTCTGCATATAGAGAAAAAAAGGAAGTAGTGAGGTGATATAGATTTCGAATCTAGTGTTACGCAGTATTATATGCCCAACTATCAGCAGTATGTAGTATTTAAGTCACTTTTGATGCACTCACAAGTGTTAAAGGGGATCACTATGCACTCAGATGTTAAACTGTTAAAGTCTTTAGTCTTTTTTACGACAGAGTGAAGTATTTCTAATGCCCACCAATGTAAGTATATATAGCAGGAATATTACTAATAACAGTGAGTATTATTTGCAAACCTCAAAATGCAGACAATGAGTAAAATAAAACGTTACAAATACGGTATTTTACAAATATTTATAAACGCATTAGAAACTAACCTTTTCAACAGTGGGAGATATGTAAATCACAGGTCTCTCCATACATTTATACGCAATAAGCTCTCGTTCAATCACAGAAAACATTTCCATATGCTTATCTGTTCTAGAAGATGAAGCGAGATCAATTTTCTTCCAGTTATTTTCGTGACGGAACTTGAAACAAGTTAGGAATATGTGGCATAATCCTCCACCAGGCTTGAAGTCCATGAAACACTTAAAAGGAATTCTCATGAAAGACCTGGACTGAATTGATGAAATAAAAAAAGTATCCAATGAAAACCTACGCTGCTTGTGAAGTTTGCTTCTTGAAACTGTAGCAATTGGAAGCATAAAGTAGCCAGGCTCTTGTTGGTAGGAGGCTCGGTTTGCGTGTACTTTTTGTGATTTCTGGTCAACCACATCCTCACTGGATCAAAGGTAGCGATTATCTCCGGATTTTCATAAAACCTTGTGGATGGATTGCCATCTTTAGCCCGGGCAATAACCATCTTCACTTACAAAGCACCAATTCAAAAATTCCGCCTGGTTAGGGGTGTTGAATTACCCTCCCATGTTCAATTCCAAATGTCTTTGTCAAGAGATACATAGAATAAACAAAATACTTAAATCTGAAACGCGAAAATACTCATATGTCTGAGAAAATGATTGTAATGCAGAACAGAATGGCTAGGTGAGTATCAGGCCTGTAAAGACGAAGGCGTTTTTCAAGATGATCAAAAAAACTCAACCCATTGTTTGTATCTCACCCTTTGATAGAATGTTTGTTCTCTTTATTCGTTATCGTTTTTGTTATGAATGTCATCAAGCTCAGGTGACTACAAGATTTCAAAGGGGTGATGATTAGCATCCTATGGCCAAAATAACAGTGATAGCAAGAATTTATATGTGTAATACTATCAAGGGTTGGCAGGGATTCATTTGAGAAAATTTTTAATTCATATCGTCGGAATACCAAGACATATTTGAACTAATAAACGTAAATTGCTAATATTCAGTACCTTTTCAGTGATAAGACAGTGCTTTCATTGAGACGCTTCATTTTCGACTATCAGGAGAAATTGTAAAAAGAGCTGGTGTGTGAAATGAAGTGGTACTCTGATTAGTGAAGCTGTTCGAAAGTATGAGAAATTTTTATAGCTGCTACTTGGCAGTTAATAATCACCTTGTAACTTACATTTTCATAATCTTAGTGATTTCATTAACTGTGTTCTACTATATAAGTGTGGTGTGGATTTGTATGGGATCAAGGAAGTTCACCAGCTCAACTGAATCTCCTGCTATTTCGCCTTCAGTGGTCAATTTTCTATGTGTGCCTAATCTACCAGTTTGCAAACAAGTGAACTTCGAAGTAACAAGAGCGAAGTTATACAGTGTGCATGTGGTTCTCAGGGTATATTCTTCATAACATAGTTCTTTAATACACCTTTGAAACCTGCGAGAGTTATATTGTCCCTTCTCAAGTTGGGGAAGTTTTAAGAGTAGTCTCGCCACCAGATCGGGTGGGCCAGGCTGAGCAGTAATAATAATAATTTATATTTTCATATAAACATAAATTTACGTGAAAATGCATGCCGTTTCGACAGGGACAATCAAATATGATATAATCTCAAGTCGTAGATTGTCTACAAGTTAATAATGTTTCAACAGTTAAATATTTGATATATATATGTAATTACACTCATTGTCTGAACCAGGCCGTATAGTTATTGAATTGTACAGTTGTCTTTCAGGCTGCGCGGGAAAACCGACTTCGTTTCGTTTTCATCCCGTGGTTGTAGGCATACGATAACCAACCAATATTGAGGTAAATAAAACGTTTACAAAGGAGTGGAAGCTGTTTTAGAAAAGTTAAAATGCCAAGGTGAAACATTAAAGTGTAATAAATTAAGTAAGTGCAACATATCATTATTAAATACATTTATACAGGAAACAGAGTGGGGAAGTAATTAATCCTTAGGCCGACAATGTTCATTTGCAATGTATAATGCTACCCATATACTTCGTACCATCATGATTTCCACTTTTGGCTTTAATACAATTATTTTCAAGCCAGTTGTTTTTACTTCATGCCTTTTTGTCTATTCGGCGCACAAACGTACCCTACAGAGAATAGGTATAGGACAAGTCGAATCAAATTCATAAAGAGCTATAAAATGTTAGGTTTAATGGAATGTAATGAGGATTAAGTAAAGACGTTATTAGAAAATAAATGAGATAAGACATTGTGAAGTGGTATTTAAAGATCTGACGATGGATAGCAAGTTAATTTATAAGATGCCCCATAAATCTGTTCAGAGCCCACATGGTCGCATCTCAACAATAGGCTGAGCGAATGGCATATATTTAAAGGTAGAAGCATGATCTGTCAAGGCGTTCGTTATTATCTTTTTCAAGATAAAGATCTAAGCCCTCATAAAAATCGGAAATATCTCGAGCCTTCAAATTGTATATTGCTGTTCCTGCAGAATGGGGTGATTCACCTTAGTGACCACCACCAAATCTACTGATCAGCTATCACCAACCTCCCTCCTTTTTTGATGTTAGGCTCTGAGACTATGATTATTATGGCTACCGCAAATGTATTGCTTGGTACGAGACATGTTCCTACTCCATATTCCATCTCCCTAGCTTTCTTAATGAGTGCTTAGGTCTCCAATAGGTCTCCACGTACATCTTTATGAACATATTATATATGTATGCATGCGTCCTAATGGACAGATCACTTTATTAGAAATTAAAACCTTAAAGAGTAAAAAAGAATAGGTTTTGTGAATAGTGGAGCAAAATTCAGCCGCACACTATAGTTGGTTTAATGTAGGTAGTATGAACTGAAGGTAAGGTCGGTTGGCAGGACTTAGTGTAATGATATATAGTAAACATATGACATTGCAAAGTAAGGTGTGTCAGTCACGTCTCGTAAACCGTTAATGCCCAGCTCTTGCTGCACTCGAGCTCACGCTGTTCCTTGAAGTTTCTCAGAAACGCTTAGTAATAACGGACGCAAAACCCAAAACACCAATTGGCGACTCAAGGATTCTTTATTGTAACACCAACATATAAACAATGTTACAACTAAGGTCTGTGAACAAATATTACAATAATGAATCACAATATTACTTCTGACAGCTGTCTCCTGACTTCTTTCTGAACAGCGATCGATGAGACGATGACTGTCGTATTGATGCCTCCGCGAAAATAGGGGAAGTTGGTTTTGAGCAAACAACCATGAATTGATCGTTCAATCTTCAACTCCATTGACACTCCCCGTCAAAAAAGGGATCCATCCCTTTTTTTCTTCACGACCAATACACGTTGGCTTGGATGCCATTGCGAGAACCTGGATCACACGGACAGAGCTGAAATGGAAAACAAACAGAAAAGCCAACACACTACAAGCATACCCACAGCACAATCTCACACATCAATGACGACCTTCGCCTTCCAGTTAAAGGCATCCTCTTGATATCTTGCAGTACAATCTCCATTTGCTAGAATGACTCTTGCAGAATGCAACGTGACCATAGCACCACCTCATGATACTCCACGCACGTCCTCGTATCTACTCACTACCAATTACCACTGCAATCGCTTGTCACTCATTCTGCCTCAGTCCTAGTAACGGTGACGCATGCAAGCCTCAGTCGTCTACACTCTCACTTCCCGGTGTGTGGGACCGCAGCTAACAATTATCTCCGTATGCATTTCATTCTCGGCAACAGCCTCCCCGGCGTATACGACCCATCTGCTGTCCTTAACATCAATCAATTCATTCACGAACGTAGAAGACTAGAAACAACTTCAGAAGTAATCACGACGAAAATTTTGACAAAATTACGCAATAAAAACAAGGTACGAAAACAACGAGTAAAAACAATGAATCCAAAAAACACCAATTGATATGACACACCAAACGTATATACAAACAGTACAAATAACCTCGCGGATCATGTCTTGATGGAATTCCTTTGAAGAATTGCAGGACTTACACCAGTACGCCTACAACCCTTCTCAGGTTGACGATTGTAATTTGTGGAATGTCCGGACAAAAACAAGATTAACCAACAATTACAATAATTGGAACTCACACAATTATTTAACACAAACATAAGTACAATCAACACATCAAATGTTGTGGATTCTGGCATGACAAACTACCCTTGAAGAACTGTAGGACTTAGAGCAGTACGCCTACAACCCTTCTCAGGTTGACGCCCTAGGTTGGAAAATCGTCGCAGAGTTCATTTGCTAACTTCCTTCTATCAGCTATATCCTCAAATCTGAACGGTAACACGCTCATGTCATTGTATCGTAGAACATAGATGACTAACAAACACACGACGTATCTGGTCAACCAAGCCTAGGCACAGAGTAATTTTCACCAAAGATAATAGCATTCAAAAAGTAACTTGAAACTAGAAATGCCTTTATTCATGCAAGTCAATTTAACAATTACTCTCTCGTTTACACTTGGCTTATCCTCACGAAACTGGGCAATATCTTTCGTCTTTTCAAATGCACCAATACTATCATAGTCATTGTACAAGATACTTGAGTTGATGGGCGTCTTTTTCATTGTGGTTTACAACACCAACGACGACTGATTGATATCAGTTGATGAAGTTAGCGGTGGATCAAAAGCTGTTGTTGCTCGGCTTTCAGAAGTTTGTCTACCTGCAAGACCACCACCACTGCTGTCTTTTACTATTAGCTCAGGTTTAGCACTAGCACCTGATGATAGGTGGGCTACATGCTGATCAATTACACTGACGGTTTGACAAGTATGCATGCCTTCTGCAACTGCATCTGCACTCAATTCTACTTCACGTTGTAGTTGTACAGAACCTTTGTTCAACTTCGCAGTAGTAGGCATTCCCTCCATTTCATCATGATCAACCAAAGACAAATCTGCACTATCATGATCATTATCACAAATATTCAATTTACCGTCAAGTTCATCATTTTCAAACTCTTTATTAACAGGAGTAGACAATTTTGATTCCTCCTCGCAAATCCTAAAAGGTTTTATAACTTCACTCTGACTAGTAATACCTTGTAAACTTGTAGGGTCAGAACTGCACTCTGAAGCAGTAACTCTATTCTGTGACACTCTGTTCAACAATGGCTTACCAGTTGCAACTACAGACTTCCTGACCAAACCGTTATCGTCACACAATTCGGAGTCAGGCCTGGAGTTTACATTTAGCTTATCACTGAACTTGCTCACTAGTTCACAGTTCACCTTTTCATGCACTTCTTGCAAACGTGTAAAACACAACCGTGTTTGTCTAGCATCTTGTAACTTATCTGTTGAGGATGTACTACGAAACCTGTTACACTCACTAGGTCTATATGCATTACTAGACATCATGGAGCCTTCTCGATATCCACCTCTCTGAGGCCTATTCGTCATCAATGATTGCATTTTACCCTCAGACTGCTCTATTCTAGGGGTGGGATGTAGTAGACTGACGAACTTGCTCCTAGATATACTGATGCTATCTTATACTAGTTTCAGGATATCATCAAACATTGGCTCGATACACTCACCCTCCATACGGGAGCTTATCTTCACCCACTTCCTTTCCAGTCGAGTGGGTAGGCGTCTTGCTATTACTTCTAGTATAAAACTCGAGTTGAGGTCACTCATGCGATTCATCGAAATCAATGCATTCTTGTAAA